AACCTAAAGGCCCACAACAGGCCAACTAAATTACTGTAGATTCATACTGTGTTGTAACCTACAGCCATTAAAAAGCAGGTTGAACATCTATTAAGTAATTCTCTTTGGGCAGTAGCACAATGGGCATGGGTTTAATTTACTCTTCATGGTTTTTCTACATTTTCTAGTTTGAACAATGAGTATAGTTGTAACTAGAAACTATGACCAAATGTAATTTTTAAGTGGCTCATTTTGCCATTTCAGACCTGCATGTCCACCTAAAATAATCAACACTTACATGTGAGCTGGTGACCAATTTGGCTGTGATCAACCAAAATGTCCCAGCTGCCACCACTGCTGCCTCCATCCATCACTACCCTCACAATGAGCACACTGCGTGGTGGTGGGTCGCAGCAGAAAAGAATTTAGACCTTTCGATCTTTGTTTGCAAGGAGGCATCAAGGTGCAGTAGTTAAGCAACTGGCTGCTAACCCAAAAGGAAGCAGGCAGTTCAAACCCACTAGCCACTCCGCGGGAGAAAGACATCACAGCCTGCTTCTGTAAAGATTATAGCCTTGGAAACTCTGTAGGGCAGTAAACCCTGTCCTACAGGGAGGGTCATTATGAGTTGGAATCTACTTCAAGACAACAGTTTTATCTTCATTTGCAAGTTTCTCCAAGCCTTACTTCCTGGACACTTTGTTTTGAAAGCTCCTCTGAAAAACTATAATGTACAGCCAGATGGGAAAACTGAGGCGCAGAGAAATCCAAAATGACACAGAAGCAGAGCTAGGCCTTGAATCCAGGTCTCCTGATTCCCAGGAATTGTTCCTTTCACTTCCCGAAACCAGTAAAAACCAGGGTGGGGCTTTGTAGGTTAACAGATTTGGAAGGCCACAGAAGTATCAAGAGAAAAGCTAGAAGTGGAAAGAGTTGTAAAAAAGAACCCATATTTGATCCCCTGCCCAATTCAATTTGAGAACTATGGCTGAGCAAACAGTTATCAACAATCCTTTATTGAGCACAGTGAAATTTACAAAGATTGTCTCCAGTCTGATGTAACCATTGGGAAAAGCCCTATAAAGTCTAAATGCAAATGTACTGTGTAAGCACAGACTACAGAAATCAAAATACCATTGTCTCCAAGGCTGGGTCTATCCCAGCACAGACACACAATCCTGACAGAACCTCTGCCCTACCTGGTCCCTGCATCGGGCTCTGGGCATATGTCCCAAAGTGCTGGCCAAGAATGCCCTCCTAGGGTCATCCCTTCAAACCACTGACCCTTGCAAAACAAAAGCAGTACCTCCTTTTCACCCAGTCCCCACCCAACCCCAATGCATCACACCTTCCCAATGATCTGGATATAATGAGGATCTAGAGGTTTTCCCTGGAAGCTGCACTGTGGAAAAACGTTTAGACATGGGAGTCAAAAATATCTGATTTCCCCTGGCTGTGTAGACTTGTGGGAAGTCCTCCACAAATCACTTAACTCTCTCAGGACTCAGAACTTCTGTTTGTGAAATCCAGGGCTACTGGACAACCCCTGAGGCCCAGCCCAACTTACTCAATGACAGATTTGCACAAGACCAGACCAGCCCTAGTTTGTAAAAGATGTAGTTAATCATTAAGCCAGCAATGTGTTGTGTTAGAATTTGTAGGGGACGCCTTTACTAAATCTTTTCCACGCTTGTCCTGTTGTAAGAAGAAAACAAATATAGAAAATGTGTGAGGTGAGAAAAATGAGATTCACTGATCTCTAAGGTCACTCAAACGCCGTAAACAACTTCTCTACTATTTGAAGGGTCTTAACTCAATGTGCCAGTGCTGCCTGACTTCCAGGCTATGTGGAAAACTCATTTGATTTTCAGTATTTGCTCTTCAATTAAAAATGTATTGATTTTATAGTGCAACCTGAACTCATTTATTCACAAAATTTACTTAGCTTCTACTACTTACCAGGCACAGTGCCAGGCCACAGGGAGAAAACAATGAGTAAAACACAAATGTTGTTGTTGTTGTTGTAATGTTCCATCGAGTCAGACCCGACTCATAGCGACCCCTCCCTTGGGTTTCCGAGGCAGTATCACTACGGAAGTAGATTGTTCAACCTTCCTTCCGAGGAGTGTGGCTGGTGGGTTTGAACTGCCAACCTTCTGGTTAGCAGTCAAGTGCCTTAGGCAACTGCTCTACCAGAGCTCCTAAATGCTTCTCTACAAAATATAATAAATGCTATAATGAAGAAACCCAGGAAGCAGAAAGCCCTAAAAGGCAGAGCTAGCCTGAGTTGTCTGCAAGGCATCTGTTGAGGAACTGTTTTTCCAAGAGAAAGTTGACGTGTCTGTGCTCATTCACAGAAACCCTATATGACAGAGGAGAACTGCCCCATAGGGTTACCTAGGCTGTAATTTCCTACGGGAGCAGACAGCCGCATCTTTTCTCCCATGGATTCAAACTGCCAACCCTTATGTTAGCAGCCAAGTGCTTAACCATTGTGCCATCAGGGCTCCTTAGCTGAAGGATGAGTGGGAGCTGATTAGAGAAAGCGGAAGGGCAGCTCCTGCCAGCCACCGGCTGGGCAAAGGCCCAGGGGAAAGGAAAGCATGACTGTTGGAAGAAAGTTTTCTCAATTGTCCCCGAAAGTCCCATAAAAAGTGCGATCATTTTCTTCTGGGTACTCCATGAGTATTTGTAAAAATGTTTATCTTTCTAAGTCACCTAAAACCTACCCACATTTAATACATTCATTAAACTCTCACTTACCAGATGTTTTCAATTTTTTACCCCCCTCACACATCAATATAGTGATTTCTTATCCCGAATTTTTAGCTCTGTTTACCTTGTCATTATCTACTCTGAGTGAAGTCTTGTGTTGGGTGGGAAGAGAGAACCCCCATAATTTGGCTCCCTGAAGGCTCAGACTCTTGAAGCAGCAAGAAGTCACATCTCTGAAAGAAACCTTCTTATCTTGTTTTTAAAGGGTAAGGGAATCTATTTCCAGAATTTAAAATTATAAGGACAAGGGTGATATTTAAAAGCTTGAAAAGCACTAGTGGAAAAAGTTACTATTATGGATTGAATGGCATCCCCAAAAAAAGATACACTGAAGTCCTAATCCTAACCTGGGAACATGACCTTGTTAAGAAATAGGGTCTTTGAAGATGTTATAGTAAAGTTAAGATGAGGTCATGCCAGGGTAGAATGGGTCCTGATCCAAGGTGAGCAGTGCCCTCGTGATGAGAACAGAGAGAGAGGAAAGATGGCCAAGGGAGGATGCAGTGACATAACAAACAAGGAACATGTGGGGCTTCTGGAAGCTGAGAGAGACAAAAAACAATCCCTCTCCAGAGTGTGTGCAGAGAACACAGCCCTGCAGAGACTGAATTCCAACCACTGGCCTCCAGAACATTAGACAATAAATTTCTGTTCTTACAAGTCTGAATGGTAGACAGAAACTTTCTGTTCTTGTGGTATTTTGCTTCAGTAGCCCTAGGAGACCAATACTGTCGGTCTTCTGCTTCCTGAATTAGGGAAGCAGAGTGGAAGCTGGAGAGAAGGGCTGAAAACCACCCATGTATCCGTCTGCGCCTGCACAGCATGCCTGCAGGGAATGTAGCAGCATGTTTCTTATCCCCACCCTGACCCCTATAAGAGGAAAGGGGACAAGGTCTCCAAGGCTCAACAGAGAGTTACCAGAATGTCAAGTGGAACCACAACAGAAGAAAAAAATAAAAGATGGTGGAGGGCTTCTCTGGAAGGGACCAAGCCCCTCCTCCAAACAAAATTCTGTAACTCAAAACCACTGCCATGGCTTCCATTAAGGCTCGCAGCAACCATATAGGACAGAGTAGGACTGCCCCTTGGGATTCTCAAGGCTGTAAATCTTCAGGGAAGCAGACCACCACATCTTTTTCCCACGGAACAGGTGGTGGGTTCAAACTGCCAACCGTTCAGTTCATGGTCCACCGTTTTAACCACTGCGTCAACAGGGCACCTCTCTGTAATTCAACTCCCATGATATCCCATTCCACACAGAAATCAGTCTTCGTAATTCTACATACTGTTACTAGATCTGGAAATCTATATATGCAAATAATGCCTCCTCCCTGTCACTAAAATAATTCCAAAAAAGACACATTGTGGCTTGGAAAACAAAAAGAGTTGGACTTGTTACTGTTACTTCTGTCCTTTGCAGGCACTTGTTTTTGTGTTTGTTTGTTTTGGTCTCCCAGGGAAAAGGCAGTTTCTGCAGGTATCCCGGCGCATCTTGCGTGTCAGGAAGCCCCCCTCCAAGGGCAGCCCCGCGCCCCAGCATCTGCAGCGGGCCGGTCCCTCCGCCAGAGTCCTCATCCATGCACTGCCGCTGCGTCGGCACCTCCCGCCGGCTGAGCCCAGCCGCAGTGGCTTGTATAAGCACACTCAGCGCCTAGCGGGCAGCCGGCTGACCGTCCCTCCTGACAGCATCCGTGAAAAGTCGCTGGTGCCAGCTAGCAAAAGATCCGCCAGCCAGGCAGGACCCGGACACTCTCTGGGAGAGGAGTTGTAAATCTCTCTAGAAAAATACCTCAGCCCGAAGTTCTGTCCTTAGAGCTAGTGTACAAGACAGCAAGAAGCACACGCAGCCCCATGACACCCCCAAACGCGCGGATCAGGGAAAGGGGGATGGGAGGAGACTCATGGATCCTAGATCTCCTCTCAGAATCTCTCCCCCCTCCTCTTTTCCATTACGTAATTCCTACATATTTGAGAAAAGATACGCGAAATACATACAACCACTTATATTAAGGTACAAAGTCTCTCAACAGACCACACGTAAAGCCTGAAGAGCTCTGGTGGCCACCTGGCCGCAGCGGAAGGTGGCACCCAGGTGCCTGGAGCCGGGCCGCCGCCGGGATGGCGCCCTGCCGGGCGCGCTGGCTCTGCGCACGCCCATCGCCGCGTCGCGGAGTTGCCTGGACCAGCACGTTCGCCGGCGGCAGCGCGGGCTGCCCCCACCCGGCGAGCACCTGACCCGGGGTTACCTGCGGGGCCGTGGGTCTCCGCAGCCCGTTGGCCGGACCCCGCACGCCCTTGCCATTGGCGACTGGAAGATGCCCGGCCCCGGGGTCCCGCGCCGCGCCCTCCGCGGGGTCCACGCCGTTCTCCCGGGGACCTTCCTCGGGCGCCGGGAAAAGCCCGCAGCGGCGCTGGAAGCGGGCGACCAGCTGGGAATCCTGCAGGCTCCGC